AGGATCATGAGATGTAGATTTCATTTTGATTCCTACTTGCAGAACAGCGAAGGTAGCATGCCTGAGCCAGCGAAATCCGCTCCGGCCCCAAAGAAGGGCTCCAAAAAGGCCGTCACCAAGGCGCAGAAGAAGGACGGCAAGAAGCGCAAGCGCAGCCGAAAGGAGAGCTACTCCGTATACGTGTACAAGGTGCTGAAACAGGTCCATCCCGACACCGGCATCTCCTCCAAAGCCATGGGGATCATGAATTCCTTTGTCAACGACATCTTCGAGCGCATCGCCGGCGAGGCTTCCCGCCTGGCGCACTACAACAAGCGCTCGACCATCACCTCCAGGGAGATCCAGACGGCCGTGCGCCTACTGCTGCCCGGGGAGCTGGCCAAGCACGCCGTGTCGGAGGGCACCAAGGCCGTCACCAAGTACACGAGCTCCAAGTAAACTTAGCCCTGCAACTGCCTTAGTAAACCCAAAGGCTCTTTTCAGAGCCACTCACCTTTTCACAATTGGAGCTATATACTGACACGTGAAGTTACTGGAAACTCTTGCAGCTGAAGTAGGCATGTTTTTAAAACTTAAAATGGTACTTGTTGGGCTGGTGGCTTTATGAAACTGGTTTCCGTGTTTTATGAGGTATCAGTCGATAGCACCTAAGAGACAACAGTAATTTCACGGTTTTGCTCTATGAAGACGAATTACGTTTCTCTTCTTGAGTCCTTAAAAGTCTACGGGTTTTACAAAAGAAGCCCACATAGAGGGCTGGAGCGGGGGTGGGGAAGGAGGAGACTGCTGCTCTCAAAATAGTTCTTAATGTTGAATTTGCTTTTTTCCTTTCTTTTCTCAATTCCTTCAAAAAGGTCTTAATTTGGATTTTTAGGTTCTAAAGGAAAAAATAAAACCCTCTTCCCTCCACTGCCCCACCTCTGCGACCTGTCTGGTTTCACCAACTAGACAATTCTCTGTGCAACCACACTCGCATTTGCACACAACACACATTGTTCATTGGTCGACAATCCCCATCTCATCTTAATCATGTTCTTAGAGAAGTTGGGTCTCCATTGTTAAGGATTCTCCTAATCACAAAAGCTGACTATATACTTATCCCCAATCCAATCATTAATAAGGGGCATGTGATCTTTAGGATAGGTGTAGCCACATTAATCAGATCCTTGAGGCTAAAAGGAACTCTGCCTTCTCCGGAGAACAAGTCAGGGAACAAAGAAATAAAGTTGTATTAGGAAGAAAGGAGGGGAAATGACTTTTGGGGAGGAGGCATCTGCACTGCCTGATACAAGCACCTTCCAGGCGAAGGTGGATGAAAGCTACATCCTGTAGGTTGAAAATGGATAGTCATTCATTCACATTGAAGTGCCAAGCAGTGAATTTTGTACTGAGGACTTTTGCACTGAGAACAGTGGTTCTCAGACGAGTGTGCATCAGAATCACCTGGAGAGCTTGTTAAAGGAGATTGCTGATATAAAAATAAGCTAACCAAGCCTCCTGCTTACATGGAGTTTTCTTGTGATAAAGATGTGGGAGAAGATTGTGAAGAGTCTGAATGTCAAACAATGAAGTTTAGATTTATTTGGCAGACAGTTATAGAAAGCTTGTGAGCAGGGACTAACAAAATTATAACTAGTTCTAGGAATATGCTTCCTGTGGCAGGAGACTGGATGCAGTGGAGGGAAATAATGATGTTGAAAGAGGATAAAGTTTCAAGCCAAAGAAATGGCAGGAGTAATGGAGCAGGGGATACAATAAACAAATCAGAAAGTAGTTGAAGGGATTTCATTTAGTATTTCATCAAATACTGGCTGCATTCCCTCTGTGCCAGGCATTGAAATACTGCAGTGAGCAAGACAGACAAGAGATTTATCTTCCTAGTAAAAGAAGAGAGACGATAGACTGGGCATGGTGGCTCAAGCCTGTAATCCCAGCACTTTGGGAGGCCAAGGAGGGCGGATCATCTGAGGTCGGGATTTCAAGACCAGCCTGTCCAACATGGCAAAACCCTGTCTCTATTAAAAATACAAAAATTAGCTGAGCATAGTGGCACAGGCCTGTAGTTCCAGCTACTTGGGAGGCTGAGGCAGAAGAATCGGATAATTGCTTGAACCCAGGGAGGTGAAGGTTGCAGTGAGCTGAGATCACACCACTGCACTCCAGCCTGGGACACAGAGGGAAATTACATCTCAAAGAAAATAAAAAAGAAGGAGAAGAATATATAGGTCGGTTTCACTCAGTAAATAGTAACAAAATAAACTTATTCCTGTTCAATGTATTATTTAGTATTATGTCTGTGATTCCTCTCCATCTTTAAATTTGGGATCTCTAGATCTCAGACCCTGAAATCCCAGACTTCTGGTTGTTGACAGGAATCCAGGGAGCCCTAGGAGTTCCTTGAGTTTCCGAGCATGAGCCTTAGAAAATGTCTATGTTCATATGTCTATTTTCAACAGATTCTCAAAGGAGTTTTTGATCCATCTATTACTAAGAACTACTCTTGTTTTCTTTGTTGTTGTTTTGTTTTGTTTTTTGTTTTGTTTTGTTTTGTTTGATACAGAGTTTCGCTCTCATTGCCCAGGCTGGAGTGCAATGGCAAGATCTTGACTCACCACAACCTCCACCTCCTGGGTTCAAGCGATTTTCCTGCCTCACCCTCCTGAGTAGCTGGGATTACAGGCATGCACCACCATACCCAACTAGTTTTTTTATTTTTAGTAGAGACAGGGTTTCTCCATGTTGGTCAGGCTGGTATCGAACTCCCGACAACCTCAGGCGATGCCCCTGCCTCACCCTCCCAAAGTGCTGGGATTACAGGTGAGAGCCATCGTGCGTGGCAGAACCACTCTTTAAGGAAGTCAGCCCACTAAATATATAGGTTACCACTGCTGAAGACATATAGACTATCTAGTCTACCCATTGATCTCTTTTTTTTTTTTTTTTTTTTTTTTGGATAGAGTCTCTCTGACCCGGACCTGGAAGTTGCTGGAACTACAAGCCTGTGTCAGCATGCCTGGCTAATTTTTGTATTTTTATTAGAGATGAGGTTTCTCCGTGCTGGCCAGGAGGGTCTCAAACTCCTGACCTCAAGTGATCCACAAACTTCGGCCTCCCTAATTGCTGGGATTACAGGCATGAGCCATGTGCCCTGCCTGATCTCTAACTTGTAATTAGCCCCAGTGTTCTGTCTATAATGGAACACAACAGAGGTGATACCAAGTCGACAGGCTCATTTGGCATCAGCTTTTCTGCAAAGAGCTTTTAGGTCAATGGAAGGACATTCCACAATGAAACAAAACTGAATTTTGTGTGATAAAATTATGCTGCTTACAAAGAGACTTAACAATAAATAAGCTTAAAGACAGGTATTTTTGTTTCATGGAACAAATCCATTGTGATTAGTCCAGCTTTGTGAAGCAGCTCTGCTCCTTGTGATCAATCAGGAAATTTCGTTCCTTCCAAGTCAACGTTCTATCATCTCCTAGGGCCTAATGGTCTCTGCTTGCTCAAAACAAAATCAATACCATTATAGCTGGGGAAGAAGGTAACATGAAAGTTTCAAAGCCCAGACCTGGTAGTAACTTTTCTGTGTCTCACCTGTGTTAGAAATAATGTAGCCACATGCTTACATCTGCTCCCAGAAAGACCCAGAAATGTTGCCTCTTGCTAGACAGCCACCTGTCCAGCTTTCTTTTTATTATGATAAAGTGAAAAAAACTTTATTGGAAAAATGAGGGTTTATGCAATATTCTCCACAAACTAAAATCCATTTTGAGGACAGTGAATAATAGTGTCATACTGATAGTCCTGAAATTGTAATTTTACAGTGATTAAGAACAAGGACTGGAGTAACCCACTAGAGAATGGCATACTTATTTTTGTCTCATTTCCTGAGGTGTAGAGGGAAAGAAGGTGGGAATTTAATCATGATAACCTCGGTTTTAAATGCCCATTCATGCAACCACAGTGGCCTGATCTATGATTTAAGGTAAAATGACTTGTGTTAATAATAAAGTCTAAAACTATTTAAGATAAAAGGCCAACAACAACAACAACAAAAACTCGATCAACATACCTTTAAATTGGCCGCGGGTACATTAATAAAAAGTCCTTTTAAATTCAACAATAGAAAATCAGTAGCTCCGGATGGAAGGCATCTCAGAGGAACACAGCCAAACAAGTTGGCCTCTCCCCATTCCACTGAAAAATGTTGAGAATCCTATATACTTTCATGGTTGTTTCTCCCACGGTAATTACTACTTTCTTCTTTAAAGATTGTATTTGCCAGTTAAGTGCCTCCCACACACCTCCTACCCCCCTATACCCATAACCATGTGAACGCCATTTTGTCTTCCTTTCATATAACAATGCCTTGGTAGGAACTAGTACCTACCTCCATTTTTTTCCCTATTCTTCACAGCAGAATCAGCCTTTACCACTTGCCTTCTGTGATACAGGTTTTGTTACCTTGTTTCTCCAACAGCTAGTCTTTGCTACTTTCTTTCTCTGATAGCCATGCAGAATGCTAGCGGCAGTTTGCCATCAGTCTCCTTACAGTAATACAGAAAACACAGGCCATGCGTGGTGGCTCACGCTTGTAATCCCAGCACTTTCGGAGGCCGAGGAGGGGCAATCTCTTTGAGCTTGAATTCAAGACGAGCCTGGGCAACATGGCGAAAATCCATCGCTACAAAAAATACAAAAATTAGCGGGTGTTGGTGGCGCAAGCCTGTTGTCTCAGCTACGCGGAAGGTTGAGGTACAAGAATCCTTTGAACCCGGGAGGCGGAGACTGCAGTTTGCCGAGATCACGCCATTGCACTCCAGCGTGGGAGACAGAGCCAGATTGTCTGAAAATAAATCAAAAAATAAAAGATACACTATCCTCACTAGCCAGTAAGATATGAAGCCAAGACGTAATAAAACAATTGAACTTGAAAACCGAAGCTACTAAACACGTGAAACAATGTTAATTTTAAGCAGTGACTACTACTCTTTCTTCTGAGTGGATAGGTGGCCCTGAAAAGGGCCGTTGGTTTTGCAATAGCAAACTGTGGAGCTAAGCTCAGCCGCCGAAGCCATACAGAGTGCGTCCCTGGCGTTTGAGCGCGTACACCACGTCCATGGCTGTGACCGTCTTGCGTTTGGCGTGCTCCGTGTAGGTGACAGCATCGCGGATTACATTTTCCAGAAAAACCTTCAGCACTCCACGAGTCTCCTCATAGATGAGGCCAGAAATACGCTTGACGCCGCCGCGGCGAGCCAGGCGCCGGATGGCTGGCTTGGTGATTCCTTGGATATTGTCGCGCAACACCTTGCGGTGACGCTTGGCGCCACCCTTACCTAGGCCCTTCCCACCCTTGCCGCGACCAGACATGTCGAAAGCGCAGCTGTGAAGCTTGTAACACAATACCTCTGGCACAGCCACGCAGCACTTTTATAACAGTATGACGGACCTGTTTGAAAACCTCATGAGCAGTGGCGGGAACCACAGTCAGTTCCCGCCCTTCTGTGCAATTCTCCCTTGCTCAGAATGGAGGAGACCAGGAGGGACCTGAGGCAACAAAAGAGTCTCAGTTGGGATTTCATAAATACTCCTAGATATGTATGTGTATGTAGATACACATCATACTTTCAGTCATTAACTGAGCCATCAGTTCATAAACTTTTGACAAAGAAGCCTGACAGCTGTCCCCCACTTTTTCCAGAATATGAAATAATTAGTACACACTCTTTCCCTCACAAGGTGCTGTGTTTTGCTGGGTTTTGTTTGTTTGTTTTTGCGACAGGGTCTTGCTCTGTTGCCCAGGAGGGAGTGCAGTGGCACGATCTAGGCTCACTGCAACCTCTGCCTCCCAGGTTTAAGCATTCTCCTGCCTCAGCCTCCTGAGTAGCTGGGGTTACAGGCGCCCGCCACCATGCCCAGCTAATTTTGGTATTTTGTTAGAAGAGTCGGGGTTTCACCATATTGGTCAGGATGGTCTGGAACTTCTGAACTTGTGATACGCCTGCCTCCGCCTCCCAAAGTGCTAGGATTACAGGTGTGAGCCACGCGCCGGGCCACAAGGTGCTTTCAAAGTATTTTAAGCAAATCATATGTTTATTGTCTCTGATATTATTTTTTATCGATTTATGCATTCCTAGTTAACCAAGCAGGGCTCTTCAGCCTGCAGGCTAGATAGTGCTACTGAGGAAACTAAAAGCATATGAAAGTTACACATTTAGAGGTCAAATTAGGATAAGATCACTTAGGGCCCGTTGAAGACATGAATATGTACATCCCCAAAACAGTTAGAACCTTGTTGGGCTGAAATTTATGAAAATTTATGATTTGATTGTATGCTTTGGTGGTGCCTTTAATCACAGGACAGATTGTAGCCAGCACTGTATCATTCACCACATTCTATTACCCCAACAAATTGGCATCATAGTATCCAGTCAAACTATCATAGAGACAGCCTGCTCCACATACATGCTGTGGGAGTGACCCTGGGCAAGCTATACAAAGTTTCCTTGTTTTAAATGTACTTTAAAATTCTAACTTGTAATTATTTGTTAAGTTGGAACGAGATAATTCTATCAAAATGCTTAAAATAATGTCTAGATTCCAAATAAGCAATCATTAAACATTAATTATGGTATATTACAATATTGTGGGTGTTCTCAATTCCTATCCTTAAGGTTCACCCTTCGAAAGGGATGAGACAGAGTTTTCTAATTTGCTAAAATCTGATTTTGAGAACTCCTCAAAATAATAAATAATGAAAAACTTAACTCATTGTTAATCCCCATAAAACGTTCCAGGTCCTTTGGGTGGAATATTTGGTTTTTCCTCCATGGCTTGTGAGGAGAACCAGGTTTATCACAGTTGTTTGCTGTTTGATGAATTTATGATACATGGAAAAAGACTGCAGAGTAAAGTTCTTAGCCTGGGATACACAGAAAGGCTTCAGGGGATCTGGGAATAAGTACAGGAAAAAAAAAAAATCAAATTTTTTTTTTTCTTATTACTATTCTCCAACAGAAAGTTAGCATTTTCTCTATGTATGAACTCAGGCAACAAACAGTATAATTGGCAGTACAAGTGCTTTTATTTGTATCACATTGCCATTGCCAATATCTCAAAATTGCATTTAAAAATCTCAATCCTAAAGCCGGGCGCAGTGGCTCACGCCTGTAATCCCAGGACTTTGGGAGGCTGAGGCAGGAGGATCACAAGGTCAGGAGATCGAGACCATCCTGGCTAACACAGTGAAACCTCGTCTCTACTAAAAATACAAAAAAATTAGCTGGTCATGGTGGCGGGCACCTATAGTCCCAGCTACTTGGGAGGCTAAGGCAGGAGAATGGCATGAACCCAGGAGGCGCGGAGCTTGCAGTGAGCCAAGATGGTGCCACTGTACTCCAGCCCAGGCAATAGAGCAAGATTCCGTCTCAAAAAAAAAAAAAAAAACTAAATCCTTCCAATCTATAATAAGTCTTAGTCACATGGACAGATTATTATTTAATGTATTAATTTAAAAAGCACCTATGCCAGGGCATGGCTTATGCCTGTAAATCCCAGCTCTTTGAAAGGCCCAGATGGGAGGATCACTTGAGCCCAGCAGTTCAAGACCAGTCTAGCCAACATGGCAATACCCTGTGTCTACTAAAAATGCAAACATTTATCAGGCATATTGGCACACAGTTACTTGGGTGGCTAATCCCTTGAACCTGAGAAGCAGAGACTGCACTGAGCCAAGATTGTACCATTGCACTCCATCCCAGGCAACAGAGTGAGACTCTGTCTCAAAATCAGTAAGTAAATAAAATAAAAAATTTAAAAGCACATATGTTAATATTTCACCAATTTGGATTTTTTATAATTTGATAATGGCATATTCATATAATTGTTTTATTTTGTATTCCTATATATTATCTAATGCATTTAAAACCATTATTCTAGGCGGGGCACAGTGGCTCATGCCTGTAATCCCAGCACTTTGGGAAGCCAAGGTGGGTGGATCACCTAAGGACAAGCATTCGAGACCAGCCTGGCCAACATGGTGAAACCCCACCTCTACTAAAAATACAAAAATTAGCTGGGCATGGTGGCACATACCTGTAATCCCAGCTCCTTGGGAGGCTGAGACAAGAGAATTGCTTGAACCTGGGAGACAGAAGTTATAGTGAGACAAGATCACGCCATTGCACTCCAGTCTGGGTGACAAGAGCGAAACTCTGTCTCAAAAATAAATAAATAAATAAATATTAATCTGGCCAGACGTGGTGGCTCATGCCTGTAATCCCAGCACTTTGGGGGACCAAGGCTGGTGGATCACTTGAGCCCAGTTCAAGAGCAGGCTGGACAACATGGAGAAACCCTGACTCTACTAAAAATACAAACATTAGCTGGGCATGGTGGCATGCTCTTGTAATCCCAGCTACATGGGAGGCTGAGGCACAAGAATCACTTGAACCCAGGAAGCAGAGTTTGCAGTAAGCCAATATTATAGCACTGCACTCCAGCCTGGGCAAGAGTTAGATTTCATCTCAATAAATAAATAAATAAATAAATAAATAAATAAATAAATAAAATAAAATGCTTCTTAGAAGGAGAGGCATAGTGTGGGCCACTCAGAGCTAAATGGTGAAAACTTGAACAAGTTACCTATTTCATAATTGATCTGCATCTTCAATGGTGTATAATGCCTCACCCAGTTATTCAATTTAAAATGAAAAATAAGAGTCAAGCACTACTATGTCAACAATACTGCACAGGGCATACTGCTGCAGAAAACAAGCATTTGGGGAGTAGCCACAAAGGCATAATAAAGAAATGGAAAGTTAAGGACAGTTGAATTATGTTCTGGTTTGACACAACTCCCTAGATATATTTCTGCACATTTTTTTACGTAAATATTTGTATGCCATACTATAATACCAATCTGTACTTTTAGTTATTTGTAAACTACTAGGAAGATTTAAAAGTGGACAAGTATGCAGTTAATATGAAACAGATTATAATGACCTTCTAAGAAATCAATGTGGGGGTGGCCTGGTGCCGTGGCTCACGCATGCAGTCGCAGCACTTTGGGAGGCGGAGGCTGGCGGATCACAGGGTCAGGAGTTCAAGATCAGCCTGGCCAATATAGTGAAACCCCATCTCTAGTCTCTACTAAAAATACAAAACTTAGCTGGCATGCACCTGTAGTCCCAGGTCCCAGCTACTCTGGAAGCTGAGGCAGAAGAATTGCTTGAACCTGGGAGATGGAGGTTGCAGTGAGCCGAGATCACGCCACTGCACTCCAGCCTTGGCAACAGAGTGAGATTCTGTCTCAAAAAAAAAGAAAAGAAAGAAAGAAATCAATGTAAGAATTCAAAACAGAGAGAGATCTCATCAATTTTGAGAGACGGGGAATGAAAAATATAAACATTTCAAAATACATCATTAGATTAGTTTGAAGTTTAAAACGGTGCAGAAGAGAGAAAAAAGAAGAAAAAAACTGAAAAAAAGATACTCTGGAAGGTAATATAATTAGACCAAGATCACATAGCTCCTAAGGGGCAAAACAAGACTCAAATACATGTCATCATGTTTGCAAATTCCATACTTCTACTAAACCAGAGTTCCAGAGTGTTGATTTAAGGCCATATAAAAGAGTTTGATTGCCATACTAAAGTTATTCTTAAATCTAAAGCTATATGAATCCAGCTTTTTCTCTCTCTTTTTTTTTCTTTGAGACGGAGTTTCACTCTTGTTGCCCAGACTGGAGTGCAATGGCGTGTTCTCCGCTCACTGCAACCTCCATCTCCTGGGTACAAGCGATTCTCCTGCCTCAGCCTCCTGAGTAGCTGGGATTACAAGCACGCGCCACCATGCCTAGCTAATTTTTGTATTTTTAGTAGAGACGAGGTTTCTCTGTGTTGGTCAGGCTGGCCTCGAACTCCCGACCTCAGGTGATCCACCCACCTCAGCCTCCCAAAGTGCTGGGATTACAGACGTGAGCCACCACGCCCAGACGAATCCAGCTTTTTCTTCATGGCTTGTAAGAATAGAGAAAAACAGTTTTTAAGTGAAGAAAACATAAAGCTACAAGGAGATGGGGCACATAAATTTGAAGCTCATATGAGGAAGATTTCACCCAGAGCAATGAAGAGGATGAATGACAGCAGAAAGGGATGAGAGAAAGGAACCACCCATCAGAAGGCTGTAACAATAGCCAGTCCAAAGAAGAGATAGAAGAGCAAGAATTACAACCATGAAAAGGCAAATAAACAAGGGAAGATTAATTTAGGGAGAATTCACCAAACTTAGTAACAGATTGGATTTGGCAACAAAGGAAAGGGAATAATTGAAGTGTCGGTTAACAAAGCAATAGTGTTGTTGTGAATAGAATATATAGGAATGTCACTTGAAAGGTTGCTTCCTAGATGTGGTTGGATATGTTGAGGGTGTGTTATAGGTAAACAATAAAGCCAATATCCAGCAATCTTAGTTAGACAGAAGCTACTTAGATGAGGATGGTCATACTGAGAGTCTGATACAGAAGATGAACAAGCGGATATCCAGCAATCATCCAGAAATGCAAATTTGATACTTAGGCAAGAGGACAGGCCTGAAGGGAGAGACTTTAGTTACCTGCAAGAAACTAACTCCCAAACCCATGAAGGCAAATAGGACAGTACCTTAGAGAAGTCCCGCAGTTGGAAGGCTACAAGTCAGTTCTTCCTTTGTTGGTGCTCCAGGAAATCAAATATAATGGGTCAAAGCCATTTTAAGATTAGAAATACATGGGCTCCATAAAAAGTGAATACACACTCAAAGTAAATGTGATTCATATTTAGCTCGTTTCTCATCTCAACCATTTGATTTTAATTTTTATTAACATTAATTTGTTCATGTCCTAGTTGCATTTGCTACATGAAGTCATTTGTATTTTGATGCGATCAAAAAGTGTGAAACCCTCACCTTTTGGGTTTTGCTCTGTCCCCAGCATTTACTTCCTTCATAGTCTTAGTAAAACATATAAATGTATATGCTCCCCAGATCAACATATGTTCAAGACATTGAGAAGTGAAGAAAATCAGTTAAATCACTTTCTGCCATCACTCCATTTTCCTCTCATATCGAACATAAGCTGTACTTCATTCACTATAAGCCTATATCGTTGTTTAAACAAGAAATGTAGTACTGAATATGAAACATGGTTGTTCTTTAAATTTCTCTCTCTAGGGAATTTTGTGTGTGTGTGGTGCTTGTGTGTATAATACTTGATCCTGTTACTTGAATATTTTGCAAAAGTTTATCTTCCCCATGTCCCCAAGCATGACAGACCCCTGAACCCAAAGACTCATGAACATTTTAGTAATAATTTCTCCCAGTAAAAATTAAAAAAAAAAATTTTTTTTGACTCATAAACGAGTCAAACTCTCTGTCTTTTATGCCCTTTCCTGGATCTCTCCTGAGTTCAGCTATGCAAACAGTCCCAACATCAGGAGAATCACTGATCATTGTATTTCCCATTTTCCCGAGGAAATGTTGAACATTTATTTGAACCCTCCCAAATTAACTAAATATCCAAATAGTAACAAGAAGCTATCATAAAACATTTTCAGCCCCAACTAATTTTATCAGAAAGAGCTGTTGTTCTAAGTATCCGTACTGCTGTTCTTCTGGAGAAATTCAAAAAGAACCTGTTATTTCTCTTCTCATATAAAACAGATTTCCTGGTTAAATCTCAATGAAAATCAAGTAGTTGTTCACTGTATGATAGGCCAAAAATGTGTAGGCTATTATGAGACAGCAAGCAATTGAAGACACGAATGGAAGAGTTTATATTTTAAATGAAAATCAAGTTGTCCCTCTGAACTGTGAATCTCTGAAAGCTGGAGCGTTTGATAAAGGCCGAGGCTGCCTTAATAAAAACTAGAGAAAGAAAATGTAAAGATCATAAAGGCTTAGCCGTTCTGGTTCGTTGTAGAATAGAATTGGTGTGATTCCTCCTCAGGAAATTTAAACTATTTTGCTTTTCTGAATTTCAACAAACAACTCAGAAACAGGGTTGAGACTAGGTTGCTGCCAAGCTGAAAGACTGAGCTGGGAACCAATCAGCGCGCAGCGTGTCTATGTGTGACATAACACGTAATCATAGATACACTCGCAGCCTGATTTTTTTTTTTTTTTTTTTTTTTTAACTATTAGATATCCAAACCTACAATCAAGTCCGAAACTTTACATGCCGTGACTCCTGGTGTATCTCCCAAGTCAAAGACTTAAGTAAAGAAAAAGGTTTGCGAGTCCGAAGGTGCAGTGAAGCGCAAGACATCCAGGCTCCTTCGGTACCTGAGTTCACTAATGACCTAGCAGCTGCCGCGCTCAAGGTGTTGGCGGCTATGTTAAGTAGAGCGGCCGCATTAAGCCGGAGCTTGCCGGTCGCGGTGTAATCTCAGCATTTTGGGAGGCCAAGGCGGGAGAATCTCTTAAGCTAAGGAGTTGTTTTTGATGGTTTTGTTTGTGTTTGGGGATTTTTTTTTTTTTTTTTTTTGACGGAGCCTAGCTCTGCTGCCCAAGCTGGAGTACAGTGGGGCCATCTCGGTTCACTGCAACTTCCGCCTCCCGGGTTCAAGTCCTTCTCCCGCCTCAGCCTTCCATGTAGCTGAGACTGCAGGCGTGTGCCACCACACCTGGCTAATTTTTGTATTCTCAGTAGAGATGAAGTTTCAATGTGTTGGGCACGCTGGTCTCGAACTCTTGACATCACGTTATCCGCCCGCCTTGGCATCCCAAAGTGCTGTGATTACAAGACTGAGCCACCTCGCCTGGCCAAGCTGAGGAGTTTTGAGATCAGCCTGGGTAACATAGTGAGACCTCGTTGTAAAAATAAATACAAATTTTAAAAAATCATTTGAATAAGGTTAGGCCTTGAAAACAAACGAGGGCATCTTCGTGCTAAGAAGAGCAGCGCCTCGGATTCGTCCCCGCTAAACAAGGCGGTCTTAGGAAAATCAAGACCGAGGCCAGGAAAGCCGCTGCAGTCATGCCCAAGACAGCTGTCCCCGCAGCCGAAAGGCCCAAGAAAGCTTGGGGCGCCCTTATTCCGAAGAAAAGTACTAAGCAGACCCCAAAAAAGGCTTTTGCGGATGGAGGCTGCTGGAGAAAAAAGTTGGTTGGTCAAAGGTGGCCAAGAAAGTTCCCAAGCCGGAGGTACCCAAGCCCCAGAAAGCGGCCCCCCAAAAACAGAAATTAAAAACTAGAGTACCTTAAAGGCTGTTTTAATAACTGCCCAATTATTAAATTTTTTACACCAATTCCGTGAAGGGAGGGGAGAGGGATAGAGGTAAGAATGCTTACTTACCTTGACTGAACAGAGATTCCAGTTTACGGACAGCAACAGTACACAGCAACTTTTATAGAAAAGGTGATTGGCTCTGAAAAGAGCCTTTGGGTTTTGGTTAGCACACATTCACAACAAAATTTACGCCCTCTCCCCACGAATGCGGCGAGCAAGCTGGATGTCCTTGGGCATGATAGTCACTCGCTTGGCGTGAATGGCGCATAGGTTGGTGTCCTCAAAGAGCCCCACCAGGTAGGCCTCGCAGGCCTCCTGCAGCGCCATCACCGCCGAGCTCTGGAAGCGCAGATCGGTCTTGAAATCCTGCGCGATCTCACGGACCAGACGCTGGAATGGCAGTTTGCGAATCAGTAACTCGGTCGACTTCTGGTAGCGGCGGATCTCCCGCAGAGCCACGGTGCCGGGCCGGTAGCGGTGGGGCTTCTTCACGCCGCCGGTGGCCGGAGCGCTCTTTCTAGCAGCCTTGGTGGCCAACTGCTTGCGTGGCGCCTTCCCACCCGTGGACTTGCGAGCTGTCTGCTTGGTACGAGCCATTGCGAACTTCTAAACCCCGCTAAATGACGAAAAACCGAAAGCCTAGGCTTTTCTACCCGTATATATAAAGGCAGCCCTGTTCTGATTGGACCAGGCAGCCTTTCCCCTGCAGCTCCATTGGTGGAGACCTCCACTCCCTGACAACATCTCCTGCATGTAGACCAAATATTAAAACTTTCCTCCGTCCGTCTCCTTTAACTGCTGGTGTTTTCAACCCTTACCCCTCTGTGCCATTTTTCTGGCTTTTTTAAAAAACGTACTTTGATTTTCCTCTGCAAAATTTTATCTAGCTACTAGGATAACGTGTCTTACTTAATTTTTAAAAAAACGTTGGCGCCTGAAATTGGCTTTGATCAACGTTTTGAAAAAACGCGCGCTAGTTGTGATTGGTCAAGTGATTTCTTTTTACCCTCAAGTTTAGAAAGGCTAATTTTATATCTTGATTTGTCTATTTAAATTTGGAGATATTTTCAATAATTTGTTCCAAGTACACCATGACTATTAACAATTTGAAACCTGATGCCAAGCAACATGAACACATATTTAACTACAATATGACATCCTCACATGAAAGCACTCTCATCTTTTACAAGTTCAACTGGTATTTTTGTAATCTGCTGTAAAGAAAAGAAATAGCCAAATTTATAAATGGCACAAAAAGACCAGTGTGCCCTTGTAGTCATGCTGAACACTGTGCAAAGAAAAGAAGCTCCACCTAAGGGCCATCTGGCTCCAGGGGATGTAGGTTTATATTCCTATTTATAATTAATGAGAGTTACCTCAGTAGAGTGGAAAGTGGCTTGCAAAAAGCAAAAACAGACCTCAAAAATCCTTACAAATTGCAGGTAATTTCGTATCATTAAGATGCATACAAAAGATAATAAAAGGTTGTTTCTGGTTCTGTTGCTTTAAGTCACTACATTCGTATGTAAATGTAAACACTGACGAACATTAACCTCTCTCCTGTATTTCTCACGCCTTTTAACAGCTTTGCAATCGTAAGGGGCTGCTGCATTGATCGATTTAAATTACCTGTGACATATACTCTCTCTGCATTTTAATTAGTTTGCCTTTTTTTTTTGAGACAGAGTATCTCTCTGTTGCCCAAACTGGAGTGCAGTGACCCGATCTCGGCTCACTGCAACCTCAGCCTCAGGAGTTCAAGCTTTTCTCCTGCTTCAACCTCCTTAGTAGCTAACATTACAGGCGCGCGCCACCACGCCCGGCTAATTTTTGTATTTTTAGTAGAGACGGGGTTTCACCATGTTGGTCAGGCTGGTCTGGAACTCCTGACTTTGTGATCCGCCAGCCTCGGCCTTACAAAGTCCTGGGATTACACGCGTGAGCCACCGCGCCCCGCCGATTTGCTTAACTATTTTTATGGCGACTTTAAAATGGAAGGTTAGTTTCACGTTGCACAGTCTAAGGACACCAACTTATAGGTAGAAGAATTACTAAAGAAAACTGCAAAATAGCTGACATGGAAAAAAATATGAGCCCTTTTAATGAATACATGGGTGGCTCTGAAAAGAGCCTTTGGTTAAGATTGCCTCCGTAAAAAGTCAATATACAAATTCTCGTTTTACTTGCCCTTGGCCTTGTGGTGGCTCTCAGTCTTCTTGGGGAGCAATACAGCCTGGATGTTGGGCAGGACACCGCCCTGAGCAATTGTGACTTTACCCAGCAGCTTGTTTAGCTCCTCGTCGTTGCGGATGGCCAGCTGCAGGTGTCGGGGGATAATGCGGGTCTTCTTGTTGTCGCGGGCCGCATTGCCCGCCAGCTCCAAGATCTCGGCAGTCAGGTACTCCAGCACCGCCGCCAGATACACCGGCGCGCCGGCCCCAACTCGCTCGGAGTAGTTGCCCTTGCGGAGCAAGCGGTGCACTCGGCCCACAGGGAACTGGAGCCCGGCCCGAGAAGATCGGGTCTTAGCTTTGGCTCGAGCCTTTCCGCCTTGCTTGCCGCGTCCGGACATTTTGATATCTTCAAATAGATGTTGAGCAACGCAGTGAAAAATGTAAAACCGAATTTTGTTAGCAAGTGAGAAACTATTATACTTGGAGGCCGAATTGTAAATAACGCTATTTGATTGGCTAGAACAACCTACCAATTGCAAAGAATCGCGAGAATCGCCTAATTTGCATACGACAGGGCACACAGAGACAATTTATCCAATCAATATGTAAGTTTTCAAACGCCAGTTTAGGACACCAGCTCTAGAGATATTACGAGCTGCAGAGTGAGGATACTTGTCATTTTTCTTTAGGTTGTGGACGAGGTGTTTCTTTAACATGCCTGAACCTGCTAAGTCTGCTCCTGCCCCAAAGAAGGGCTCCAAAAAGGCGGTGAGCAAGGCGCAGAAGAAGGATGGAAAGAAGCGCAAGCGTAGTCGCAAGGAGAGTTATTCCGTTTACGTGTACAAGGTGCTAAAGCAGGTCCACCCTGACACTGGCATCTCATCGAAAGCCATGGGTATCATGAACTCCTTCGTCAACGATATCTTCGAGCGCATTGCGGGGGAGGCTTCCCGCCTGGCGCATTACAACAAGCGCTCCACCATCACCTCCAGGGAGATCCAGACCGCCGTGCGCCTGCTGCTGCCCGGGGAACTGGCCAAGCATGCCGTGTCCGAGGGCACCAAGGCTGTCACCAAGTACACCAGCTCTAAGTAATTCTAACGTCTTCATACCCAATCCCAAAGGCTCTTTTAAGAGCCACCCACTTTTTCAGCTATAGAGTTGTAATTACCTGCATATTTTCTGTGTTTACCAACAGATTTGGTTTTATCTTGATTTGAGGGGTTTGCTGCTGTGTAGGTCTAGAGCACAGTTCTTTTGATTGCTTTAAGGCAAAATGCTGTACTTAAGTTAGTGGTAGCATATTTGTTTTACCCAAAGTGCTGGTTACAAGGCTAGCCCATTGTGCTGATGTGCACATTTTTCTTATGTTGTGCTGTGATGTGTCCCTTGTCAAACTGGTTTCATAAGCAAAGAACTTTTGAAATTAAGTAATATTTCTTTTGCTACTGACAGTGTGGGGAAAAAGAATGTCTTCCTTAATTCCGGTTTAGTCATAACAGCATTGGCAAGTTTGCCTGGTTAAAATAATATAATCAAATTCTTCAAAATATAAGGAAAGCAAGACAAGTAATGTGCATGAAAACTGAAAAATGTGAACACCGGTGCCTGGATGCAGCACTAATAATCAAAATTGTTCTTTGTTTAAAGAAAAGTTTGGCTACTGGCAAAATAACATTTGGGAGTAATAACTGGAAGTCCAGGAGAGAAACACCCTTAACCCTAAAATATTTTGTTGTCACTTCCTCAAAGTTGTTTTTTACTTTTTTTCCTTCAAGGTTGACTTCATATATCTTCATTTTATTCTAATAGGCAAAAATTGTGATTTTTAAATGAAAAAATAATTTATGTCATTCTACTTACAAATACCACAATTTTTCTATTCTATATACTCACATATAAAGATACTGAAGTTGTAGTGTATTGCCTGTAATTACAAACCTTACTTAAGATCATAAATTGTTATGAATGGCATCCATTGTAGAATACTTAGAATTTTTACAAAATATTTTTGTATTTTAAAAATATTTAAAATATTTTATACAAAATATTCTTAGAATTTCAACCCAGTTAAGAAAAAAGGAATAGTATTCTATATTACTTTCTTTTCTTTTTTTTTTTTTTTGTTATGAAGTTTCACTACTATCGCTCAGACTAGAGTTCAATGGCACGATCTTGGCTCACTGCACCCTCCGCCTCCTGGGTTCAAGTGATTCTCCTGTTTCAGCCTCCCAAGTAGCTAGGACAAGAGGCAGCTGCCACCACACCCGGCTAATTTTTATATTTTTAGTACACACGGCCTTTCTCTGTATTAGCCAAGCTGATTTCGAACTCCTGACCTCAGGTGATCCACCCTCCTCAGACACCCAAAATGCTGGGATTATAGGTGTGAGCCACTGCACCCGTCCCACAGTTTTTTTTCAACTTCCCACTCCCTGTCTGGCACATAAATGGACACAGAACACAGCACTTACAAAGCATATATAAACATTCAAATAAACAAACCCCAACTGAAAATATGAAAACAACAAGAAAAACCTAGAAAAATAAAAGCTAAAAATACTAAATAGCTTCATGTGCAAATTTACATTGGTATAGCAGTCAATTTTTGCTTTCTGTAGTTCCATAAGTAAATATCTAAACTAAGGTGTACATCAGCTTGAGGGGAATACAACAACTTTCTGAAATTATATGCAAAAATGTGGCCATATGTGTTTCTCCTTCCCAGAACAAATTATATAGCTTTCTATCAGATTCTAAAAATATTGTGATCCACTGTGCTAAGCAGAATAAGGCTACCCCAGTGATGACCACATCCTAATCCCTGGAGTCTGCAAATTCCTGCAGTCTTTGTTACATTACGTGACAAAGGGCAACTAAGGTTTATATGGAATTAAGGCTACTAAATTGGCTGACCTTAAGGAGATTATCCTGCATGTTACGAGTTAACCCAATACAATTACAAAGATTCTTAAAAGTGGAAGAGGGAATTGGAATAGAGAACTAGAGATATAGCAGCATGAGAACGATTTGGCCATAAATTTCCAGCTTTGAAAGTGAAAGAAAAGGACCATGATCCAAGGAGAGAGTGGCATCTACAGGGTAAAAAGGCAAGGGAAAAGATACAGGCTCTTTATTTCTTTAGTTAATATCAAGTCAACACCTTGACTCTTTTGCTCAGTAAGATCTGACTGAGCCCCAATTTTAAAAACTATATAATTACAAATTTGTATTTTTTAATCATAAAATGTGATAATTTTTCAAACCAGCAATAGGAAACCAGTGCAACTATACAAGTTTAAGAATTGAGTAATGTACCACCCCTGGCCCGAGACCCCACAGTCGCCGAGATGTTGATGCCTAAGAAGAACCAGATTGCCATTTATGAACTCCTTTTTAAGCAGGGAGTCATGGTGACCAAGAAGGATGTCCATATGCTTAAGCACCTAGAAATGGCAGACAAGAATGTGCCCAACCTTTGTGTCATGAAGGTCATGCAGTCTCTCGAGTCCCAAGGCTACTTGAAGGAACAGTTTGCCTGGAGACATTTCTACTGGTACCTTACCAATGAGAGCATCCAGTATCTCCATAATTACCTTCATCTGCCCCCAGAGATTGTGCCTGCCACTGAAGGCCACAGTCATCCAGAGTCCAGAGCCTGGCAGCCCTCGGCCTAAAGGTCTGGATGGAGGGTGAGCAACCTGCAAGCCTCACAATAGGAGAACCCGACAGCGATACCTACAGACGGAGTGCTGTGTCCCCTGGTGCTGACAAGAAAGCCAAGGCTGGGGCTGGATCAGCAACCGAATTCCAGTTTAGGGGCAGATTTGGTCATGGACGTGGTCAGCCACCTCAGCAAAACTGGAGAGGATTATTTTGCATTGAATAAACTTACAGCCAAAAAACTCAAAAAAAAAAAAAAAAACTCAATTCAGTAACATATTAACTAATGTTCTATTAAATTACAATTTTATACATTTAAATACAAATATGTAAATACTATTACAATTATTATAGAAGTATGTAAATTCTTCCTAAATATCACAGCCTCACAGAATTTTGATATTGGTGGGATTTTAACAGCAGCAATTTACAGTTCCTTTTTGTTTAGTCTCTACATATTTGATTTCTTTTCACAGTAGAAATCCTAACATTTGTATGGAAAGGAGGAAAATTTGATTATTTTTAGGTTTTATGGCCAGCTTTGGGGCTAGCTTTGGTTTATATGTTCCATCTTGGGGAGGAAGGAGTCTAGTTCCTATAGCTAGCTTCCAGGGAGAATGGGAGGGAGAGAGAGGAATGTAGGAGGAGAAAAACTTACTGCTGAGGCCGTCATTTTGTAGTTTTCTGACTCCCAACACCACCTTTTATTTTAAAAGTCTGTAGGAAGTTGCCTATTTAATACCTTGGCCCACTACACGTTGCCAATTCTCTTGTGATAAAGGCTGCTACCAGAATCAAAAAGAAAAGAAAACTAACAATAGAGAACTAAACATTAACACACCAGTGGGTTTTTAGGTTTAGATGTGCAAGTTAGCTAGTTGTTTAAATGAGAATTATAAATTTTAATAAACAGGGAAGAAAGAAAAGCCAAAATTGTAACACGGGCCTCCACAATGAGGACTAGAATTAATGGGATCACTAATTTTCTTTCTTTTTTTTTTTCTTTTCTTTGAGACGGAGTTTCACTCTTGTTGCCCAGGCTGGAGTGCAATGCTGTGATCTCGGCTCACCACAACCTATGCCTCCTGGGTTCAAACAATTCTCCTACCTCAGCCTCCTAAGTAGTTGGGATTACAGGCATGCGCCACCACGCCCGGCTAATTTTGTGTTCTTAGTGGAGACGGGGTTTCTCCATGTTAAAGACTGGTATTGAACTCCCAACCTCAGGTGATCCGCCCTCCTCAGCCTCCCAAAGTGCTCGGATTACAGTCGTGAGCCACAGCGCCCGACGGATCACTAATTATCCATATTTTTCTCTTCGGGAAGAAAACCCTTTTGGTCAGATTTCCCTTAGCTTGGTGCTGGAGAGGGTGAGATCTTGCAGTTTTCAAACACTTCCTAAGGGGGTTCGGTCCCCAAGAGAGCAAGCAGCAGAAATGTCAGAGGCACCATGCCTGTGGGAACAAAGCTGAACTCCTCATGGAAGGAGATTGCTACAGTTCGTCTTGTGAGCCGAAGCTCCTGTTCAATCGTTCTAGAGCATCCAAGCAATAAATGATATTAACCTAAAAATGTTAATATATTTAATCTCATTTAGTTGTTAAAATAGGCCTAAATTTCCTCTTTGGGGAGGTAAGACTTGCAGAGACGCCTCCATGGAGGGCGCACTCTTCCCGCGGGAACTGGTGTCCTTGGTGACGTCATCCGGGTCTGAGTTGTGAGGGGTGGGGCTAGTAGGAAGTACCAAAGTTCCCGTATGTGCGTTTTCAGTCTTCAATTAGGTCCGAATTCCCAGCATATAAGGGTACTACCGTCGCTCATCTTCCAGATTTCTCCAGTTTGTCTTTCAGGCTAGTTCGCCATGTCTGGTCGTGGCAAGGGCGGAAAAGGCTTGGGTAAAGGGGGCGCCAAGCGTCACCGCAAAGTCTTGCGAGATAACATCCAGGGTATTACCAAACCTGCCATCCGGCGTCTTGCTCGGCGAGGTGGTGTCAAGCGCATTTCTGGACTCATTTATGAGGAGACCCGCGGGGTGCTGAAGGTGTTTCTAGAGAACGTGATCCGTGACGCTGTTACTTACACGGAGCACGCCAAGCGCAAGACCGTAACAGCGATGGATGTGGTCTACGCTCTCAAACGACAGGGACGCACTCTTTATGGCTTCGGCGGCTAAGGCTCCTGCTTGAACGACTCAACATCTCAACTATCCCAAATTAAAGGCCCTTTTCAGGGCCGCCCACACTTTCCCTTAAAAGAGCTAATGACTTTTGCTAACCACTTAGTCACTTCATAAGTCATTGTTCCTATCCACAGGTACGTATGTCTTTCGCGGTTTTTTTTTTTTCGTTCCAAATTATATTTGGTTTCAGCATACCATTTTTAAGGCTACGATCCCTTTGCATTTAGAATTATTAGGCATAGGCTTTTCAGGAGGTGTAGTAGGGGTTTAGCTTGCACCGAAAAGGTTAGAGTGGTGGTGTCTCATTTGTTTCTCTTACCGCTTTTTTTTTTTTAAAAAATACCTAAAACTGCATGGTTTTTCGCATAAGTAGGAAAACTGCCAGAGTGCGTAACCGCTCAAAATGGCGGACAGCGAGGAACAAAGCCGGTGCCTGGCAACGGGCGGATACGCGAATTAGCATAAGGAATCTTCTGGGCGGTAATGTGGGCCTTAAATCCTGGCGGCTTGTTTTCTGTTAACGACCGAGTTTCTGGTGTGTAGAGGCCCCTGGGGTAGATCAGCTCACGCGAGGAGAGGTTGCAAGTATGCATTTCGGAATATTAATGAAGCCAGCCCAGTTGTCCCTTAGAAGTTCTAATATCTGCTGTTTTTTGAATAAAGAAATTTGACCCTTTAATCTTACCCTAAAGCTTGAAATTTAACATTTAACTCACATGAGACAAATCTTAAAGTTTAGGAACTCATGTTCCTGCCTCAAGCGAGGAACTGAAACTCACCGGATCACTGCATCCACACCGTGAGACTCCATGTTTCTCAACCATCATGATTGCTTCCTTAGCACTCCCTGATTTCCTGTTTTTTCGCTCTTCTCGCTACATAAACCCCCCCAATTTTGGTCCGGGAGACGGATTTGTGATTTCATCTCCCTTTCTCCTAAGCAGCAGCACGGGATTAAAGCCTTCCCTCCTAGGTCATTGAAATTCTCTGGCGAGCAGCAGGACCTGGACTGAACCCCTGGAATCTCGGTAACAAAAACATTTTTTAAAAAGTAGGTAGAATGTTTATGACAGTTTTTATAGTGTACATACTATGCTATAATAGGACATTATACCCCAAATTGTTGAGTATATAGTAAACCCCACATAATCGAGTTGCATGGCTAGCAGAAAAAATGAAGGATTAATCATCTTAGTGTTAATTGTCGTATGATTTCTTTCCTGTAAGCAGAAACTAACTGCTGGAAAGCATTGTAGAAACTAGTTAGAAAATGTTCCAACGGATTCTGATTGACCAGCCAGAAATCCCTTTCCCCTGTTTTGCAGTCCTGCCACAACTCCAATTAGAGGACCAGTCTTACATATATTCGTTATTGATAAGTGGACATAGATCTTAAGCCAGTTTCAGCCAGCTTGTAGAGATTGAACAAATTGTCTTTGTGCCCTACAGTTCATCTTTTAGCATAAAGCTAAATCCCACCTCATTGTAATGCTAAAATCCTCCCCATGGTTCACATGAAATGTATGTTACATGTTTTGCCAAAGTGTAAGTGCCTGACTTCCCTCATGAATAATATTCAAAGAATTTTTCCAAACCTACTTAATCTGTGATGTAGGATTGACTGTAAGGCATGTATATATTCCAGCTCCCCTTCACTGACACAGAGTGCTCACTACATCCTGGGATTCTTCTCCCTCTGAAAATAAAACCTTCGTTACTTCCTACTTGGATCTCATTGTCTATTGTTCAAAAAAGACATGTACTCATTCCACATTGAAAACATCCCAGTTATGCCCCAGATGTATTGGAGATCTGGTTTGTTTAAAGAAGGATGCCGCCATAACTTCGGTTGTGTCTCCAGTTTTCTTATCTAAAACAGGCTCCTCTCCCCTACTTCCCCATTTTTGGACGTTGATTTTTTGAAGACCAGACTTACAGAATGGTTTTTTTTTTTTTTTTTGGATTGGCTTGATTCTTAATCATTTTAGCTTCTGTATTCTCCATGTCCTGTAAAGTACAAGTGACTTCCATACACTTAATTGAAAGGTGAATATACCTGTCAGGAACAGTTTACACATTTAATGTACATAGTAGTACACTACATCAGAAGCACTTGATGTCTGGTTTTATGCAAATTCAAAGTGATAGAAAAATCGCAGGTTTGGGCTGGGCACAGTGGCTCATGCCTCTAATCCCAGCACGTTGTAAGGGCAAGGTGGGCGGATCACCTGAGGTCAGGAGTTCAAAACCAGCCTGGCCGTCATGGTGAAAACCCAACTCTACTAAAAATAAAAAAATTAACCGGGCATGGTAGCAGGCACCTGTAATCCCAGTTAATCAGAAGGCTGAGTTAGGAGAATGGCTGGAGCCTGGGAGGCGGAGGTTGTAGTGAGCCAAGGTGGTACCACTGCACTCTGGTCTAGGCAACAGAGAAAGACTGCCAAAAAAAAAAAAAAAATTGGTGGTTTAGGGTGATAGTTCCACTGAAAATGAGATTTTTCTTCTAGCCAACAAGTAATCCGTAGGCTGATACTTTGAAATCAGGAAAATAGTTATTTTGAATGTCATTTTTTAAAAGTGTGACCTTGTGCATATATATGAAAAGCATCATGTTATTGGTACTAAGGCACTGGTTTGAGGAGAAAAAGTTTTATGAGGATGTTAGTGTAACAACAGCGACAAAAAGGAGCACATAGCATGTGCCAAGCATTGTTCTACGCTCTGGGAGTTAAAGCAGTGAATGAGAAAGAACAAAACAATATGTCTGTGTACATAGAATTTATATTTATTGGGTGGTGGTACACACACAAAACAAAACATACTGTGTCAGATGGTGCTGACTGCTATGAAGATCACTGAAGCAGGAAAAGGCATAGCATGTGGTGGGAAGAGGTGATATTTTAAATGATACTGTCTTGGGAAATTTTACTCATAAAATGATAAAGAAAAAAAACATTGAGAAAGTGAGGACGCTCCTGGCTGAATAAAAAACCTCTTCCTTCTTTAATCCGGTGTCTGAGGAGTTTTGTCTGCGGCTCGTCCTGCTACAGGAGAATATTCCAAATGGAATACCAAGCAAGAAAGCCTGGAGGTAAAAAGCAAGTATTATGGCTGGAAAAAGGGGCAGAAGTGAGGCAGACATTGGAAGGCAGGACAAGGGACCCCGCCACACTTCTTTACATGCTATGCTGACTACAGCAGCACCCAGCTCCATAACCTTGCAGCCACTGAAGCTTCCACTCATAAAATCAAGCAATCAGACATCAAAGAAATAGAACACTCTAACCACAAACATCCTGGCCATCAGCATAGGGACTTCCAAAAGACCTTCCCCAAATGAACATGCACTGTAGGGTCTTAGATTATCCTAATCTAAATTTTGCATCATGTTAATGATAAAAATTATACCCCTGTATGAAGATTTAAGATGCCAGTGAGGCCTGAGACACAGGAAAAAACATGACAAGGGACTGCAAAGGTGTTTCCAAAGCAGACCACGCCAAACATGCCATGATGTCACCTGGACAAAGCCCAGAAAAGAATAACAAAGTACACTAGCTTGCTTTCAAGGAGCCAGCTGCAAGTATACCTCTGGCTGCCGTCTCCCTTTCTGCTCAAGCGGAAAGTCCTAATAAACTGCCTTGCTCAAGTCCATCTTACATTCTTTGTCGATTTTTATTTTGTGAGGGTCAAGAACCCACTGCTGGTATTGGAGAGGGTGCAAATTAAAAACCAATAAGATCTGCAAGGTAAATGGAGACGAGTCTCTATATGGCCTTGTAGACCAGTATGACTACTGTTTTATTCTGAGTGAGATGGGAGCCACTGCAAGGTTTTGAGCAGAGAACTGACATACTCTGATTTATAGATTTATAGATTTATATATATATATTTATAG